TGTGTGTGTGTGTGTGTGTGTGTGTGTGTGTGAATGCGTGTGTATCCATATGGACCATAGTTGAAATATATATTCTTAGAAAAGTCCTGATATTTAAACCACATGGGCTACACAGAAATCTCTTTGAGAACCGGGAATCTGAATCTTTGTGAAAGGAAAGTGTTTTTCCTATCAAGGATGAAAAATCAAAACCAAATGGGTGTTTTGAAGTGTGGAGCAGAAAAATAAGGACTGTGTCTGGCACATAGTAGAAGCTAGCAAACTAATGAATTTATCCAGCTGCCCTTATGGGGAAGGGAAGGCTTCTTAGAACTGCTTTCCAAACAGAGGATAATTGGGAGTTGGTCTCTTTTCACTTCTGCTAGGATGGGAATAGCTTCCTGTAATTTCGGTTTGATAAACACAGTATTTAAAATCTTGGTTAAGATGGGGAAAAGAGAATTTTCCTCTGAGGCGCTCTGCAGTGGCTAGGCAAGAGGACATGGCCCCATGACTCATGTGCACTGCCGAGCCCATCCATGGTCACTGAAGTATCTGGGCCCCAGATAGTGGAGAAAACCAGCAGTGAGAGTTACTATGTTTCCAGAATTGTCTCCATTTCTCCCCGAGGTATTCCTGCCTTGAGGCATTTTAACTGTACAAGGTGTCTGAGCTTAAAGGCAAGCATTCAGAGCTTGCCTTCAGGATCTCATAAATGACAGTACCAGAAGTAATAGGTGAATAGATAGATAGACAGATAGATAGATGATAGATAGATATATAGACAGATAGGTGATAGATAGATAGATGATAGATAGATAGATAGATAGATAGTAGACAGATAGATAGATAGATTTCATTAATTCTTTATTGTGAAATATAACACACATACAGAAAACTATATAAAACAAATGTAGAGCTTAATAAATTGTCATAAATTGCCTTCCAGGTTAAGGCACAGCATACTGCCAGGACCCCAGAAATTTTCCAGGTCCTCTTCCCAATACAACCCCTTTCTTTAGAGGCAATACTACCCTAAACCCCATCCCGTGGACCCTATGTTGAGCCTTGTGCTTTTAGGCTTCTAGATTTCCTCCAGAAATACTGCTTTCCAAGGAGAGAGGAATCTTTGAGGTCAAGAGGCCGTGTCCACCTGGAACCTATGTCTCCCTTTCTAGACCATTCACCAAGTACTGGGACATTGGGATTCCCTGTCCAAATGATTCTGAGTCCACTTTCTGGCCTCTTCCTCAGGTCCATCTTCCCAAGAGGTGGCCTAGGGGCAAATATGTGCGGGAGGCTGCAGATGAACATACATGGACACAGGGGCCCTTGAGGTACAGGATGGGGCAGACATGGAAGAAGACGGACGGCCTGGGAGTCCGAGGGCCACCTTTTCTTGTGCCACACATTCCAGTGACAAGCTCTAAGCAGCCCAAGAATCCTAGGGTCCAGCCTGGTCTTCCAGATTGCCATGAAGATGTTATTTGTCGAGGTGGAGGATAAAACAGCTTTTATTTCATATAGTGTTAGTTTAACTGACTTTAAAATATTTAGTCCTAGGACGATGATCTGCAGGTCTCTATTTAAGCCCCACAAATGGTAGAGGTGATCCTGCTTAAAGATAACTATCCTGACTATCATGGTAATCCTCTCCTTGCCTTTCTTTAGACTTTACCCCTTAAATTGGCATTCCTATACACTAGAGTCACTTTTGCCTATATTTGAGCTCTGAAAAAATAGATCATACAGTATGTATTCTTTTATGTTAACTGCATCCGCTCAGCATTATGTTCGTGGCATTCGTCCGTGTTGTTGCCAATAGCTGTAGTTCATAATTTTTATTGCCATATAGTATTCCAGTGTATAGATACCTATCCATTTTATTTTTATTTATTTTTTTTTTTAATTTTTTTTTCAACGTTTTTATTTTTATTTTTGGGACAGAGAGAGACAGAGCATGAACGGGGGAGGGGCAGAGAGAGAGGGAGACACAGAATCGGAAACAGGCTCCAGGCTCCGAGCCATCAGCCCAGAGCCCGACGCGGGGCTCAAACTCACGGACCGCGAGATCGTGACCTGGCTGAAGTCGGACGCTTAACCGACTGCGCCACCCAGGCGCCCCGATACCTATCCATTTTAATGTGGAGGGACAATTGAGTCATCTCCAGTACGAGGCCATTGTGGATAATACTGCTATGTAGACCTTTATCTATTTCTGTTGTCCATATACCTAAGAATGGAATTTTCTGGATGATAGATAGGCGTTTATTTTATTTACTGGAAAATAGAAGCGGTTGTACTAATTTATATTCTCACCAGTGGGGTGGGGGGGACCCCACTGCTCCTGACAATGTTTGGCATTTCTTTTTAGTTTTAACCTTTCCGTACTAGGAATATTTCAGTGTCCTACTCAAAAGTTTCTTTTTCTTTTTCTCCCCAGTGATTGGTTTCTGAAAATACTGAGGTGATTCTAGGAGCTTAGGGTTTCAAATTGAGTGCTAATAACATCAGTAGAGGTATATAATAATACCAATGATATGTGTAGTAATAGCCACAGTTTTTATTTGAACTATGGCAGCTAAGAGAAGATCTGTGCCCTTGGAAGATTCACAGCAATGAAATCCAAACCAATAGGGATGGCCCACTTTAAAACAGCACTGATTAGCAGACTGACCCAGGGGCTGAACCAATACACTAGATATGCAGTTGGTATTGACCTCTTCCTTCCATAGAGGCACACATGTCCCCAGAGCATGCTCTGACAGTTGTGGCAGCACTGGGCACACATGACCCAGCTGGGGCCAGTTAGGACCACCCTAGAGGAGGAAGTTTAGCTGGGGGAGCCCATCAGCTTGTGGCTCGTTAGCATGTCACATCTGGCAACATCTGTTCCTCCAGGAGGCAGCAATAACCGTGTGCTCTGGTCAACAGAAAGCAAGGGACATACACCAGCCTCTTGTGCAGAGATGAGCAGAACCTCCTCACTGCACACTTTCTTCGTCACCTACTCGCGTCCCTGAGCTTTCTCAAGTCACCTTCCCCTTGCTCACATCCTCAACCTCCTTGCCCCTTTGCCCTTGTAATGCACCCTCCTGGACAAAGCCCAGCTCTGGATGTACTCAACTGTTTACTTTCTCTACATCAATCGCCCAGCTGTTGAGCATTGCTGGAAAAAACCACACACCCTGCAGATGGTGCCACTATAAACTTTGGTCACCCATGCCATCTGGGCCCTTGTTACTGTCAGGCAGCCCCTTTCTGTTCCCCCTGGTTTGCTCACCCTCTCATTTCCCCACCTTTCTATCCTAGTAATAGATCCCTTCCTGTGATGATGCAGTGGGTGCATACTCTAGACACAGCTGGCTCTGGTCCATTATGCACAGGACTATTTCAAACTTTTCCCCACTCTCCTCAAGTCCCCGGTTTCAGTGCCAGTCCCTCTGCTGAACCCTAGTTCCTACTGAGCTGTAGTTCCCACCTCCATTGTCAGCCCCAGCAGGCAGTGTCTTCTCCTGCTTCATGAAGAAAGCTAGAACCACCTCAGGTGAACTCCCTCGACTTCTCTCCTCCTCATCTGCTGATTCATTTTGTATCCAAACTCATCTCTTTCTCCCGCCCGCCTCCTTGTGACAATAAAGGAAGTGTCTCTCCTCTTGTGCCAAAATGTATCTCTCCATCTGGCCTCAATGCCCACTCAGGGACATATCTCTATGTGCCTGACGTATCTCTTTCCTGACTTCTTCCCAGTAGTTGTCAAATATGCTCACGTCTTTCCCTTAAAGACCAGGTATCAGAGACTTCCTTGTTTGGCCAAGAACATCCAAACAGGGCAAGAAGCAATGCTACGGATTGGATTGTGTCCCCCTCCCCTACCTTCCCAATTCATATGCGGAGGAACTAGTTCCCAGTATTTCAGAATGTGACCTTATTTGGAAATGGGGGTCATTGAAGATGTAATCAGTTAAAATGAAGCCATGCTCTTTCTGGATCTCACTTTCCTCATCCGGGACAAGAGGAGTTGGTAGATTGTCATTTCTGTGGTGTGCAGTTCCAAAATCTGTGGGAGCAGAGGTGGCACATGAGAGAGGGAGATCAGAAGCAAGGGTCCTGAGCTCTGCACTTCTCCTTTGGCCACAGCCATTCCAGTTTTAACTGGTTTCAATTTGGGGCTCTTGGTGATATTTGGCTTAAAAAAAAAGACTTTGTTGTTTAAAAAATGAAATACAAAATTTAAATCTGCTGGCTCAGGTGATATCTCAGATCCTTTCTCACCACAATAGACTATGATTATAAGATTTTGCAAGTCAAAGCTTATGGGTTCGACGAACGTATTGTACAGATTTTTCTCAAAAAGGCCTGATTTAATGAAATCTATTTCTTGTCAGTAAAAGAGACTTGATAAAAGACTTACTAATGCAATTTAATTTCTATGCCTTTTAAAGAGGTTCATCTAAAACATTTACACATTAGAAAAGCAATCTTGGGCCACCTGGGGGGCTTAGTAGGTTGAGTGTCTGACTTCGGCTCAGGTCATGATCTCACAGTCCATGAGTTTGAGCCCACATCAGGCTCTGCACTGTCAGCGTGGAGCCTACTTGGAATTCTCCCTCTCTCCCTCTCTTTCTGCCCTTCCCCCCATTCTCTCTCTCTCTCTCTCTCAAAAAAAAAATAGAAAACAATCTTATTTTGAGCACCATGTGTTGGAATTTGGGGGTTAAAAATATGCTCACTGCCCACCTGGGACTGAGCCCTGTGTGTGAACAAGAGCCTGTGCACGAACAGGATGTGCAGCTAATGAGTTCTTGAGGGTAATAACTGTGGCTGCCCCATCTTTGTTTCCCCAGGACCTAATTCGATATCTGGTGCACAGTAGGTGCTCAGTAAGTATTTGTTGACTGAGGCCATATGCTGAAGTAAACTCCCTGAAGCTCTGTGAGAAGTCTTGGTGATAAAAAACAACAACAACAAAAAACAGAACTTCTTTCTAAAGGAAGGAGGGGGTGAGGTGGAATCCACCAAGAGATTAAGAGGGGGCAGTGCTCTTGACCTAGGCCTGGGTAAAATGGCAGGGTTTCTGCTTGTAGGACAGTTACCTGCGGGATGGGGTAAGCACAGTGGAGGAAGGCAGTCCTGTGACTTCCTCAGACCAGTCTGTCTTAAGTTCCTCATTTCCTGGCCAATAGTTTCATTTCCTATATGGAAGCCAGTGGAGCCCCAAGTCTACATTTTTCTTATTTATCCTTGGATGTTTCTCTATGTGGTATCTGAACCTCATATTGAAGGACCTGAAATGGAATCCTTGAGGGGAAAGGAACTGCGGAGCTACTAGCATAAACCAGGTTCTCCAACCTTCTCTATCTCCCATGCCACCATATACAGCTGGCGATGTTCGTGGTAGGGAGTGCCCTAGAAGTCAGGAGACCTGGGCCCTAGTCCCCATTGTGTGTGACTTTGGGCAACTCAGCCATTTCTCTGCCTGTTTCCTCATGTGCAAGATGAAAAGCCAGAAAAGCGTGTGTCCTCAGTTGCACATGTCATATAGGTTATCACCTGGATATGTAATTTGTCGGACACCAGGAAAGGCATTATTGACCATAAACAGTATCTTTCTCTCTCCGTCTCTATGTCTCAGTCTATCTCTGACCCTGTCACCCTTGGTGATGTTTCTACTTTGCTGTGCCTTTTAGATAAGGCCTTGGAGGTGCCAGTGAAATTGCAGCACTATGTAATTAAAAGGCACAGAAGCTAAGCATTTATCAGTTGTGAACATCAAAGATGTTACGCCTTCACCACCTGGGGAGTATCCTGAGGTCAGGCTTAAGGGCAAACGTGTCAGAAAGACCCTCATCAGGAGACTGGGCAATGCTCCCCCAGAGGAGGAGACCTGGAGAAAGAGGAACAGAGCAGGGGCTAAAACCAGCCGGGTGCCCCTTACATTTCCGCGTAAACGCGATTCTGGAACTGGGACGATGCACTCAGCGGAGCACACTGGCTTTCCACTGTCTGGCTGCTGACAGCACCTGAAATAGAGGCCTCTGGAAACTACGCACTTACTAAGTTGTCTTCCTTGGGAGTTTTATGTCCCTGGGCTGTGGAGCTTTTCTGAGATGTTGCTTGCCAGCTGATGGAGGCCTTCTACCATATTGGGATTCACATAGTTTATTTGGGTAGGTAACTAAGACAGAAAGAGTTAATTAAAACCCTTCATAAAATAGTCCATCAGGCACCTGCTTGCAGAGAAAAAGTCAGATTCTTTGCTGTGCTTTGGCAGAAAGATTGTGTGCCTCAGCTTGCCCTTGGGCCTCATTCAGGATTCTAACCAGGTTACCTAAGAAACTTCTTTTTAGTTACGGTATATATTTTTTCCATTTGTGTCAAAACAGTAAATAAATACCCGTGATCTCGTCAGGCCACGCCAAAGAGGAATTTGTCGGGGATTTAATACCCCAATGCATCGGACACACTGGAATTTGGCTAAACATTCAAACTGGGTGGTTTGGCCCAGTTGCAGCCATTTAAATGTTGGGGTATAGCCTTTCAAGTGACCTCGGTTCTTTCAGAATGATCCCTGCAAGGGACTGGCTTTTAAGTGAGTTGGAAATTCCCAGGTGTGTTCTCGAGATCTACGAAACAAGCCTTCCCTTTGTTGCAAATGGGTAAGACTCAGTAAACAGTGGGACGAACAGGGCTGTGGGTTCATCCAAGGGCACATCCACATGTGCACCCTGGGAGCATAGCAATGAAGTAACACGTGTTTTAAGATTTTTTACAAACATCAAGATACTCCAAACTGCGGCCAAAACCCTGACCAAGAAAGAGGGCATGGCAATGATCGTGAAATAAACGAGGGTGGAAGTCGGAGTTATGAGGTCCTTTAAACCCTTCCGCACTTAGGTAATGTCTTGCTGAGCTCACGGCCCTGATTCTTTTCCTGGTCTCTGCCAGCAAATTTTCAGGAATCTCTTAGCAGAAGAGAGGACATTGCTGCACCTTCCACTCCTGTGGAGTTCTTGGATGCTGTTTACAGGGACTTTCAACTGCCTTCTTTCCCCATCTGGTATTAATTTTTATTTCTTTTTCTTTACTAGGCTCTGACTCATCTCCACCCAAACTTTCAGGTTTCCTGAAGGCTTGGTTCCCCAGACGTTGGCGCCCCACCCAGGTAACACAACTGGCCACGAAGAGAGAACAGTGTCTGTCCCCAGTCTCGGAGAACGGGACCGTGATTTACTCAGTCATCCAAGGCAGAAGCAGAGAGGTTTTCGTCAGTGCTTTCTTTATGGTCACTGCCCACATCGCCTCAGCAATGGGGTCTTGCCCTTTCTATCTCCTTAAGGTCTCCTTCTCCCTGCCCCCCGCTCCCCAACCTGCCATGCCAGCTCCCACTGTCTTAACTCTTGCTGCTGGACCACTGAAATTTTCTGGCCACTTTATCCTCAAGGCAAAGGGGAAGACTTTGAAAGCTTTTAACTGGGAAGTAATGCGATCACTTTTCTTTGTCATAAAAATCACACTGAATCCAGTGGATGAATTGGAAAGGCGGCTGGTGTGGAGGTGGCGAGAAATCCATCACAGAGCTTTGCTAAAATCCAGATGCAAAACCAGAGGGTCCCCATTAAGCTCAAGACAGAAACAATGACGAGCAAGTAGCTATTTAGGCAGTCGGGGGATAAAGTGTAATATCCGATTGGAATTCGAAGGTGAGGTTGGAGGGAGTGTTTGTAATAATTGTCTCCCAGATAGAAGTGGAGGAGATTGGGTGGATGATAGCATCATCCTGAGAAAGAAAATTCAGAATTAAGTCGGGGAGCAAATGATGAACTTAACACGACATGTTAGGTTCCAGGGTCATGTGGGGAAGGTCATGTGGGGAGAAAACCCATGAGCAGTTATATATACAGCTGACTTTTGAACGGACTGCAGACCTTTGGATTTGTTCATCTTTATATTTATATGATTCACTTCCTTACACTAAATCATAATATCTATAGCTATATATCCATGCTACTACTGCTGTGTCTGTGGAGGACCCTGACTAATATAGCACAGAGTGGAGAAGAAAAGAAAAGGAACAAGATAGGAAATAAGGCAAGAAGGGAGAGCGAAAGGCAAGTGTTGGATGAATGAGGTCCATGGGAGCCTACGTGCTCTGAAAATGCAGGGAGAGGGCGGGTGACTGTCTAGTTGTCTGTAATATCTGATGGCATCGGTGACTCATGAACGTTATGTAACCAGAATTAGCCTTCAGACTTTGCTGCCTTGGAGGTTATGTCTCATAAATGCGGGACTGCCTAGCTTGGCTTGTTTTCATGTTACTAAGGAGCCGTTGCTAGCATAAGTTCATACTCAGAAAATGGAACCCTCAATAAGATTACTCAGAGTCTTGGCTGCCTTCTCCCTGGTCATTTTATCTTTAGGTTGAAAAAAGAAACAGCTCACTTTCCTAAAGTGACATTACACATCACTTTGAAATATGCCCTATAGGCGAGCCCTGAAATCTGTTGGGTTCTTTTTTTTTTTTTTTTTCCGATACTCATGAAAGAGACACTTTTGTTTTAAAAAATGTAAAAAACTTTTTCTGTTTGCTTTACTCTACAGATCTTCTTTGATACGCCAGTTTTTAGGAAACTACCTGCTGAAGAGAACCTGAGGCAGAGGTGAAGATTTGCCCAGCTCACCCCGTTTTATTTCTGACACAGCGATGGGATAACCTCAGAAGCCAGGGAGGTGATTTCACTGAGAGGTTTATTGGGCACAGAGAATTTATTTGGTTTCTGCTCTATTTTTATGATCTTTTTTGTTATTAAAGTAACGGTGGTCGGGGCACCTGGGTGGCTCAGTCGGTTGAGTGTCTGACTTCGGCTCAGGTCACGATCTCGAAGTTTGTGGGTTTGAGCCCCGTGTCGGGCTCTGTGCTGACAGCTCGGAGCCTGGAGCCTGTTTCGGATTCTGTGTCTCCCTCTCTCTCCGCCCCTCCCCACTCACAGTTTGTCTCTCTCTCTGTCTAAAATAAGTGAATATAAAAAAAAAATTTTAAATAAAGTAATGATGATAAGCCATTTTGTTTTGGGGTTGTCGCACACGCCATTTGAAACATCTCCCCAGCTCAAATAGACGCCCTTGGTTGTCCTGTTCACTCAGAGGTCGGTTCCAGGTTTCCGTCTGGGCAACATGGTTGCACTTTACTGTTCACAGCTGCCTGGACCTGGGATGAATGCCTGGCCCAAGTTTAGACTCAAAAGTCCTTCATACACAAACACACACACACGCACACGCACTGAGTCACTCACACAGCCCCTCTCCACATGGGAACTTGGGAGCATAACCGCATTTCTGCTTCTGGTACCGTGAGATCTATTCTTGTCCTTACAATGACCACCTCCCTTCCTTCCCCACTATCCTGTGAAATATTATAAGAATGAGACTGGAAATTCCTTCCCTGTGATAAAGTCTACTATTCCTCAATATTCAGCAATGGAGAATAGGCCTAAAATGTTACCGTGTCTGAGGCAGATAGAAAACTGTGACTCAAAAC